TCACAGAGGGAAATAGAGAAACAATTAGTTTAAATTAATCCAGAGCTCTACAAACCGGGGGAAATACACCCCTGTTGTTTAGAGGTGTATCTTGGACTAATTACCTCCTAGTTTTACTAGCCCTCTATAACAGGCAGCCTTGTACATGTTTTTATGGGGAAGCTGGTTTTCTGAAAGACTGAAAGTCCTGGCAGAGAATGAAATAGGTGCTGAGTTACACTCCCTCCTAAATAACCATCCTCAATGGCTTAGCTTCCCAGGGTTAAATTCTAAAAATGGAGACTCTATAGGTCAACAATACATCCCTGAGTGATCATTATTTATCTGAGTTCTTAGTATTTATGGGTCTCAGTAAATAGTCAGTGTTTCTCTGTCTCTCTGTCTCTGTCTCTGATACTTTGTCACAAAGTTCCTTAAGGAAAAAGACATGATTATGTCCCAACTGTATAATAAGAGAAGGGTTCAGCCTGTTGAAGTCTGTTATGAGCATGAAAAGAGTAGACTCTGCGAGGCACTTCCCACAGCATCAGGCTGACCTTGTATTGATGGGGCTTGCTGCCTATCGGTCCATTCCCAGGTTCAATGAGAGACCTTGTCTCAAAGAAATATGATGGAGAGTCTTAGGGCAGCTGAGGAACTCTACAAGTCCACAGGGTGTGTGTGTGCGTGCACCCTTCACAAAAGAGGATGCTCTCTCTAGGAGGCAAAAAAAATTGGGGTCAGGTTCTTCCAGTACAGAGATGAAGGGAATTGATTCTTTGGGGTTTTCACAGCCAGGTGAGATGGGGTGACTCCTCCTATTATGTGAACCCTAGAGATGTCAATTTGCTCCCACAGCCCCCACAAAGCAGGCTCATCCTAGTTTAGAAGTGAGTATGTCTTAGCAATGTGCAATATGGAAGTCAGATCACTGCCTACAATGGTTAAATACTCCTGCACTTCGTATGTGAGAAAAGCTGAGACTCTAGCCAGAGTCCATCTCACCAAACCTGTCCCTCAGGGCAAGGTGCTGTCTGGTTTGTTTTGGGGGTTTGTTGTTTGTTTTGTAACCACTGAGATATCTTCCCTGGGGTCAGGAAGATGGTAGAGGTCACAGGGTAAAGAACAGACAAGATTGAACCAGGGTAGCAAGACAAAGACAAGAAGGGATTCTTTTCCTCTGTTCAAAGTGCCATGATTTCCTTGGCAGTGCTTTGTGGCTTTCTCTATTCTTTCTGTTGCAATCAGAACACAAATCATTTCACCTATTTTCTCTCCTAGGCGTGTGCTGATGGAAATGAAGACAAATTAGAAAATGGTGGGGTTTTGTGACTGTCTATGGTGAAGGAATGTGTTTTATTTTTTAAGGTTGACTTCAGATGTGACTGTTATAAGTGGCAATCAAAATGATTAGAAAAAGGCAGTGTTGCAAAGGCAACTCTCAGGATACCAAAGTTTGTGACTTAGGTACAAGAGCCATGAAATTATAAGATGCTGCTGTACGGCTGAGTCTCACATTGGCTGGCGGGGGGGGGGGGGGGTGGGGTGGGGGTGGGGCAAGTTTTGACCATTAGCATTTGTTGTTGGCATACCTTACAGGTGACTGGTGTGTGTGTGTGTGTGTGTGTGTGTGTGTGTGTGTATGTGTGTGTGTAGAAGGCAGAAGACAACTGTATGTTCTTCACTCAGATGCTGGACTTCTTTTTTTGAGATAGGGTCTCACTTTTTTGGAACTTGATAAGTAGGCTAAGCTGGCTTCAGGGAGCCCCTGGGTCCCACCAGTCTCTGCCTCCCCAGCATCAGAATTTCAAGTCCATTCCTCTGTGCTTGCTTTTAACAACATGAACTCCAGGTACTGAACGTATGTCCTCCATCTTGTGCATCAGAGAGTTGACCCAATGAGCCATATCTTTAGAGATCCTTAAAGGGACCTGCCTAATGTCAAGGACAGGGATCTGCACACTGTCATTTCAGATAGCACTTGATTGTGTTTAATATCTTAAAAGAAATAGAACAGAATTTCCTTCATGCTAAAATAACCATATTAAAGCTAGACAATAGCACTCCTCTGGGGATACCATTCAGACTTATTGTCAGGGGTATATTGTGGCTTAGGAATCTTTAGGGAGAATTAACTTGGGGACATATTTTGTTTAGCCAGTTTGAAGTATACAAGTGAAAATATTAATACCATTGCTACTTGTCCTGAGATATGCATTCTATCAGATCTTTTCCCCCTGCAAGACCTGTCCCCATGGTGGTGGGTCATCTAGGAGGACAGTTGTCAGACTGAGAACACAAAAACACAGAATACCCAGATCTCAACTAAGCAACAAGTCATCTTTACAAACATGGTACAGATAGTTCACAAGACATTATCACATGTAATGCTGAGGACATATTTACACTAAAATAATATGTGATCTATTTACTGATTTACCAGCGAACCTGTATTTTATCTGGTAGTCTTTTAGTCCAAATTCTGTCAATCTGGCCTTTTCCCCCCTCAGGTTAAAAATCAACCCAACCAAATTAAATCTAGCTTTATCGACCAAACCTGCTTAGCTATTGGCAACCGGAAGCTGAAAACTCAATAAAAAAATGCCAACATTTCTTTGAGAAAACTGTTTCCCACCTGGCAAAGCATTTAGTCATCTTTGCCTTCTTCATCCTCCTCTTCCTCCTCTGCTCCCTCCAATCCTCTGATTTATCCTTTCCTCATAATTCTCCTCCTCCTCCTCCTCCTCCTCCTCCTCCCTTTGCTTATCCCTTTACACAATAAGCATGTTTATTAAACCTCATGGACTATTTATTCTGCTTGGTAATAGAAAGTGAATGGGGTAACTGAACTTCCTGTCTGCAGAGCTTAGAGATTAAAGGGATAGGTGCCCACTTAAGAACAATAGGAAAAGACGTGTTTAAGTCATGTAATGGTGCAAGGGTACTGTAGTAACGCAGAAGTCTGGCATAGTCCTCGGTAACAGCTATCAGTCTTCAATTGTATGCCATGATTGACTGAGATTTTATTCTGTGAATTCATTTATGGGTGGGGGGTGCTCTGATGCATGTGCAGAAGTTATAGCTTGTAGGATTCGGTTCTTCCTTCCTACCATGTAGCTCTGGGGATTGAACCCAGGTCATCAGGTTTGGCAGCGAGCACCTTTACCCGCTGAACCATCTCACCTGCCTAGCAGTTTGGTTTTGTTCATGACCAGCCAGAGGTTATTCCGGGCAGCTTTCCGAAGTTGCTGTCCTCGGCCTCCTGGGATGTGTTCTCATCCCCAGTGTAAATGCTTTCACCAGGGGACAAGCAGCTGACACTGGCAACTGGAATCTTGGGCACAAGTCACCGTGCCCCCTGCGTAAGCACCCACGGCTGGTCGGCAGACAGGGTTGTGTTCGGTGGTGCAGGGAGAACTGGGTGTGCATACCCCAAGCGTCGAGTGTGACGTAGAGGCTAGAAGACAAGGCGTTCCACAGGGATAGCAGAAGTGAAGTGTGCATGAGCTTTCGGGGATGCTCTCAACTTAAACTGTGCTAAAGTCTGCGTTGCAGGGAAAGTATGAGCAGATATGAGAAGTAGTGGGTAATGCATTTCGGCTTGGTTCTCAGGTATGAAAAAAAAATCATTCGCTTATGTCTGAAATTTGGCAGTCGCAGGGTTCTGAAGTCTACTTGAGGACCAGGAGGATAATGGTTAGGTCAGTGTCCTGGATTATTTGATAGGAACTTTGTTGGAGTCAGTGATGTTCATTGGCTGGATGATGACTCCACAGATAAGAGCTCTGGTCACTCTTGGAGAGTTGCTTTCAGTTCCCACCACCCACATGGTGGCTCACAACCACCTGTATGTAACTCAAATTCCTGGGGATCTGACACCCTCTGCTGGCCTCTTTGAGCACTGCATGCATGTGGTGTCCATATCATCCCTTCCACCAACATACATACATAACACTGTGTGTGGTGGGGGGGATTAAACTAAAATAAATGGATCTTTATAAATAAAAGAATAACTCAACACAATGCATCTCCATCTTGGTGATAGACTAGCACGTCCCTGTACCTTGACTTTATGCTTTTTCTCTGTTTGCTGCTCCTGTGTTTCCCCTTTGGCCAAATCTGTGTGTTTGTTGCCTTACTTGTTGCTTCTGCTTGAGCAAAGCAACTCAAGGAAGGGAGGTTTTGTATCAGAGCAGGGCTTGAGAGTGCCACCCACCGTGGAGGGAAGACAGAGCAGCAAGAGGGAGGCAGCTGCTCACACTGTATGCGTACAGCAAGCAGAGGGGGCGACGGATGCTGGTGCTTAGTGTATCTCTACTTTTTATCCATCCCTAGACTCCACAGAATGGCACAGTCATGTTGAGGGTTGGTCTATGTACCTCCATTAACCTAATGGAAAACTCTGTCACAGACATACCTAGAGGTTTCATTTCCTGTGACACTCTAAATCCTATTGGGTTGGCGATGAAACTTAGCCGTTGCAGCTGCTCCATAAGGGAACCCAGATTTTCTTTAGGAGGTTAGGTTGAAGACAGACCATGGACTCCACCTTTACTCCTCTGACATTCAGCACCATAGCACTCCACCTATGCGTGGAGTGTCTGAGGCAGTCAGTCCACGTAAGACGGAGCTTGTATTCAGTGGAATCCTCTCCTGCCGGGCTGAACAGCTCATGAACCTGGGAGCACCTGTGCCCTCTGATGCTGTCTTTTGCCCTAGGATTTGTTGTTGGTTCCTTAGCAGGTAGGGCACAGCAGGCTTCTGATTAAGAGAGTGATTCTAACCAGATGCCTCAGACTTCCACCTAGTCACTTACATGGAAAACACCATACTTCAACAGAACAGAAATGCTTCAAAAAAAAAACCAAACAAACAAAAACACAAAAAACAAAACTATCTCTGATAGGAATAGCTTGCCTGCTGAATGGTTACGGCTACCAGTGTCTAAGAGGTATGTGTGTGGTGTGTGGTGTGTGTGTGTGTGTGTGTGTGTGTAAGTGACAACATGGACTTTACAATTCTTATGGACCCACTTTGCTTTACTTAGGGAAAGCCTTAAATGTGTCATGAGGATTCTGAGGCTAATGACCATCAACACCTAGAACATTACAACAATCCAATGGAATGGAATAGCATTTTGGAATGTAGCAATTTGTGAAGAAATTGCTGATAGCACAGACTCATACTGAGAGCTTTACATATAAGTGGTCTATTGCTTCTACTGCGAGCTATTTATTGAGCCTTTTGTTTGTAAATAACACAGTGTTTCCTTCCTGGAATCTCCAGAGTCAGAAGTTCATATGAGAATACCAATGCCCTTGGTCAGAACTGGTGGAGGAGGTCACGGATGCTGCTCTTAGCAGTCCTGGTCACTGAAGGAGCTCAGAGGGTCATGTGGGATGACAGTGTCCTCAAGCAGAAGATGCTTGACTGTCTGGTCCGGAAGACCGGTTGGATTCCCACTGCATCACTCGCAGATAGCAGCTTAGCTAGCCGTGTCAAGTCCTCACCAAGTACTTCAATGACTTTTCTCCTGGCTGCAAAAAGAAAAAAAACAACTTCAAAAGGGAGCATGTACTTGGATCACAGTTTGCAGGTCTAGTCCGTCATGGCAGGGTGCCATGCTTGGAGAAGGAGAAGGAGGAGGAGGAGGAGGAGGAGGAGGAGGAGGAGGAGGAGGAGGAGGAGGAAGAGGAGGAGGAGGAGGAGAAGGAGGAGGAGGAGGAGGAGGAGGAGGAGGAGGAGGAGGAAGGAGAAGGAGTAGTCACATGGTGTCCATACCCGGGAAGCAGGGAGATGAACGCTGGTGCTCCGCTCACATTCTCCTTTTTATTCATGTCAGGAGCCAAGCTAGTGGCTTGGTGGCTCCCACATTTAGGTTGGGTCTTCCCACCTCAATTATCCTAGCTGTGAGAATCCCTCACAGACATGCCCAGAAATTCGTAATCTCCTAGGTGATTCTAGGTCCTGTCAAGTTGACACCTAACCACCACACCAAGTCTGCAGTGGCTCAGTTGGAGGTTTCCTCTCCAGTCTCATCTTGGGGTCTTTGCCCTTTGCAGCTTCATGGTAGCCTCTGGGCTGTGGCTAACACGCCCTTGAGATACGGATAGAGATACAGTGTGAACATCTGACTTCAATCCCAGAGAAAGACCACACGTTAGAGGGGAAGAGAACCAAGGCTTCATCCTGACCTGTACATACATGTGTGCATGCACAGACACAATAAATAAGCATACTTTTCAAATGTTTTTAAAAGAATGAAATATTTCAAAAGCATGCCTTGAGTTGAGGGACAATTGTTTATCATGTTTAAAATACTTTGTTCTTTAGCCATGCACAGGACACACGCGTGGTGTCTGACTCCATGTCAGCTCTTAGGGCTGTGAAGGTATGACCTGCTGCTGTGAGTTTAGATTGTCATTTGAGAAATGCAGCCGGGTCAGCAGACAAACTGCACCTTGGGAAGTGAGGGTTTGGGGAAAGCTGCTTCACGAGACACCTCCATGCTGACTGAGAAAGAAGAACTGACTGGGATCACCGGTGGGAACTCAGAGATCACATCATCAACATGATTGCAGTGAAGTGGGACTCAGGGCAGACTGTCAGGGGTGAAGAGAATTTACAATCTGACCCTGAGCAGAAATAAAGGACTGATGAGATCCCTAGGGTCTTGACAACTTCTCTCGGTTCTAGGCTTCAGTGAGCCGGGGGACATGGCCAAGAGACTTTGCAATTGGTGTAGATTAGACACCTGCTTCAATTAATATCTTTCACCATTTTATGGATGGGATAACTGAGGCCCAGATTCTCCCATGTAAAATACAGGTGGAGCTGGCTTGATTTTCTCTATCATTTTGCCCCGGGGGGTCATATGCATGCACCCCAACTTGAGCTCCTGTCTTCTGAGCTTGGGATAGCTGGATTGGAAGAATGTTTGCCTAGCATGCCCAGGATCCTGGGTTCACCGGCCAGTGCTCATGCAAACCAGGTACATGGATCCATGTCTACAATGTCAGTACTGAGCAATTGGAGGCAGGAGGATCAGAAGTTGAAAGTCATAGTGAAGCTAGTTCAAGTGCAGCTTGGGATGCCTGAGACCCTGTCTTTAGAAAACGGGAAGAAATGAGAGAGAGAGAGAGAGAGAGAGAGAGAGAGAGAGAGAGAGAGAGAGAGAGAGAGAGAGAGAGAGAGAGAGAGAGCAATTTCTCTATCCTCATCTTTCTCTCTGCTTGCACACAGATTTCAGTGGCTTGCTGGAGCCCAGGCTATTGCCCCACGCCCCACGAGTGTCCGGACTTACACAGGGTTAGCATCGTGTGTATTGCGTTTTGACTCCGGGTCTCTGTGAGAAAACTGCCTTTGTACGAGGTCTTTTATCTGAAAGGACGTCTGGAGTGCTCAGCCGACTTCGGGGAATGGAGAGGCGCGCAGAGGCTGGCTGCCCACGCTCCGGGCATGCGTGAGCACTGCCAGCAAAACACAGCTGGCACAGCTAATTTTAGCCTCGCCGCCGCCTTGCAGAGAGACCCTTTAAGGAAATATATCTTCTCTGAAACAGTCTGTATTATAATGTAGCAGCTGATAGAGAAGTGTCAGAAATTATTACTGGTGTGTGGGGGGAGAGAGAGAGAGAGAGAGAGAGAGAGAGAGAGAGAGAGAGAGAGAGAGAGAGAGAGAGAGAGAGAGAGAGAGAGAGAGAGAGAGAGAGAGAGAGAGAGAGAGAGAGAGAGAGAGAGAGAGAGGAGATTTTATTCTCTAACAAGCGAATAAGCCTAAGGATCACCTTGATTTTTATTTTTTAACAGATGGATAAGGTCATAAAACAATTATTTCTGATAGTTAAGTACACCCCCTTGTTGAGATGGGGCATGACTTCCCCCCAGAAGTACCCAACTAAGAACCCCAACTTTTTCTCCTTTCTTGAGCATCCTCTGTGTCCTCTAGAAGGTAAAACGTTGGTTTCATCTTTAGGTCCTGGGTTCATCTGGCTTTCAGTGTGCTAAAAGGTTTTGAAAAAGCCGTGAACACACTTTTCCCCCTCTTAACTAGGAAGGTTGGCATGCGTGTGTATCTGAGAATGTATATGCACACATGTATGTATATATATATATATATATTTTTTTTTTCTCCTTCCTTCCTGCTCCCCTAGCAGGGTCCGTTTGTTCAGCAATGCTATGCCTCACCTCTGGGAACTTGACGATTGAAAAGGAGAAGGCCGCTTGGGAGCTTGGGAGCCATGCCCCACCCAGGCACCGCAAGGGCAGGCTGGGGTTCGGTTCCACCTGGGACTCAGCTGCAGACGCTGCTCACTCTGCTATTCCAGATAGCCAGCAGAGGGGTGGCAGCAGCCTTTTTCTTTCGTCGTCTTCTTCTTCTTCTTCCTTCTTCTTCTTCTTTTTTTTTCTTGGAGGAAATACTGCAGCCTTCTGGACTGTGTACGCGGCTCCCTGGAGAGGCTCTCTCTCGGTTCCACCCACTGGCTGGAAGGAGGGGAAGTGAATGAGAGGGGCCAGGCCAGCCTGAACACACCATGTCACTCTGGGAACCAGACAGCAGCAACTAAGCCTGCACGGGTTTCTTTTTCTTTTCTTTATTTTTTTCTTTTTCTTTTTCCTTTTCTTTTTTTTTTCCCCTCCAGTTTTTTTCCTTTCCTTTGTTTTTCTTTTTGCCCATTGTTTCTTTTTCCTTTTATTACAATTTCTTTTTTTCCAAGGTGGGAAAGAGACACGCGAGAGACCGAAAGCTGTACTGCAAGGGTTCCGAGTTGTGCTAAAGGATTTTTTCCTTTTTTTTTTTTTCCCTCCTCCTTCGCCTTTACAAGCGCCTGCGATTGACACCACTAGAGACAGGCTGGTTAGAGAGCAAACTGCTTCCTCCGGACTGGACCGGGCAGCCGGGAAGAAAGCAGCAAGCAGGCAAGAACCGGGGAAGCGTGTCTGGGGGTTTCTCTACGGACCTCAACCCCCCGTCTGTTTTTTTTTCTTCTTTTTCTCTTTTCTTTTGGTTCTTTGTTTTGCTTTGGTTTGCTTTTTTGGTTGTTTTAAATTCCGTACGGTGTTGGAACTAGTGAGTGGAGTCTTGGAAGCCTCATCAGTCACCCAGACTGCCGGGAACAGTGGATTAAGAGGAAGAAGCTCGCCCCGGGCATCATACACCCTGTTATTCAGTTTCCTGCCTCGGAGATAAAGATCCCAGCTTCATGGGCAAACGCCTGGATCAGCCACAAATGTACCCCCAGTACACGTACTACTGTCCCCAGTACCTCCAAACCAAGGTATGGCTGGACCCGTGAGCTCTGGAAGGCAGCATGGTGTCTGGCGCTCCTCGGGCAGGGGTGGGGGGGTTATGGCAAGCGGACCCTTCCCTCACCCTCACCCCCATCCCCTCTGCCGACCTCTTTCAAATTGCTAACAGTAGGAATGGAGTTAACAGGGCAGAGGAAGAAGGGAGAGGGAGCCCAGAGTGTAGCTTTCTCTTTGAAGACAGGCTACTTTCAATGGGGCGTTCTTTTGTTATTTAGCAGCTGAAATGCTAGTGAGATGGTGAGTCTTTTTGCAGGTGAGCAGGGGATTTTAGAAAGGAGGTCCCAGGAGACGTTCTCAGGGACAGGAAAAGGGAACTTTAGGAGATTCTCTAGTGAGCTGTTCTTTGTGTGTGAATCTCAAAGATTTGAGCACCCCCTCCTTAGCCCCCCTTTCCTTAGAGAAAACACTCCGGGGTGGGGGCCACTTAAACTTTTCATGGCCTAGTGCAGCGTGGAAGGAGGGAGGGGGGAGGGTTCCAGGGCACCCGCCGAAGTCTCTCAGAGTTTGTTGAGTATGGTTTTTGCTTTGGCTCTCTCTCTCTCTCTCTCTCTCTCTCTCTCTCTCTCTCTCTCTCTCTCTCTCTCTCTCTGTGTGTGTGTGTGTATCTCTCTGTCTTTCTCTCTCTCTCTCTTTCTCACACACACAACACACACACACACACACACACACACACACAGAGAGAGAGAGAGAGAGAGAGAGAGAGAGAGAGAGAGAGAGAGAGAGAGAGAGAGAGAGATGATTGAGATGCTATGGGCTCAAGGAACTAATGCAAAGAAAAGGTCAATACTTTCAGAATGCCCCCCCCCATCCCTTTAGCTGCCATTGGGAAGTCTGAGTCTTAAAAAAGGCATGGGATGTAAGTGATAATAATTGGACTTGAATTGGTTAAAGACTTTGGGCTTTGTGTGAGCATGAGCTTAAGTGATCATTAGGGGCCCTGAGGCCAGCCCACAAAACTGAGCAGAGGGCAGTGCCCACGCGGAACTTTTATCCCTCAGTTAAGACCTCAAAGACTGGTAGGTGAGAAATCAATTCTCCAATTTGTCAATTCGATTGGACCTGATTTGAGAAGGGGGCTGCAGTGTTTGTGCAATAATCACTTCAAGTACATGGATAGTCTGACTTTGCATTGCATTAACCATTAACCCACCATCTTCTTAGAAACTACACATGCAAGAGTGAGGAAGGCAAGCTTGAGCAGTGTGTGTTGTCACTGGGTTTGCTGGCCTGGTCAGGATTTGGTAACTCATGCTATGGTTCTCATCTCCCATTTATCTGGTCTTAGCAGACAATGCCCATTTGAGAACCAAACTGGACAACAGCCTCTAGAAATTTCATTTTAAAGGCTGTTTTTTCTTTTTCCATTTTTTTTTCCTTTTTAGATAGCTCTATGTCTGCCCTGCCCCTCCAAGGTCAACTCAAGTTGCTTTTTGCCTTTGTGCCCACTTAGTTTGGGTTGCCGCTGCTGCTTAAATAGACCATTCCTCCTGTCTGCTGCCTCAGTATTAACTCTTTGGGCAAGTGGGTAGAGAATGCTGCATGCTACTTTCCTTAAGGAAATGGTCATGCAAGTTTAAAAAGGAAAAAGAATATTCACAGTCGTTTTTTTCTCCCCCCAAAGAAACAAAAACAATAAGCTCAGGGGTTGCCTGAAAAATATCAAACATTCCAAACCTTTTACTCATTCAGTTAAATTTTTCCAAATGTTTCCCAAATCTTGCTTTGTGCTGGTTCTGGCTTTCCAGGGCTGTGTGCAACCACAAGAGAAAGTTTTGATTGAAGTGAGTGAACTAGTTGGGGGTTTTGTTTTGTTTGTTTTTGTCCTAGATTTCTTTTAACCTATTACTCGCAGGGAGTCATGAATGCTGTGTAGAGTTAAAGAAACTGGAGGAGGGGGGAGGGAGGGAGAGAGAGAGAGAGAGAGAGAGAGAGAGAGAGAGAGAGAGAGAGAGATGGGGGTGGAGACAGAGCTCAGTAGTAGTGGGTAGAATGGAACCTGAAGAAAACTAAGAGGTTTTCCAAGTCTGTCTGGGTCCTGCGTGGCATTAGTGTCCCATGGACCCTGGCTGTGTCTCTGGGTTTTACGGCTTATCGGGCCAGCCAAAGCCATGGGCATTATCTGGAAGATTTAAAGGAAGTCAGCTCCATTAGGCATCCCAAACTGAGATTTAGGTAATGAGATCAGGGCCAGGAGGGAATGTAAGGTCAGCTTTTTGGGCTATCACGGTAGGTAGTCATATTGATTGTTAGGTTGTAGCATTTAAGCATGTAAGTGTCATGCATTGTTCTGGCGCCTCTGGACTGACAGACATTAGCGACATCTCAGGAAGCTGGAGACTTGAAGCCCTGGATTCAGAGGAAGTGTCAATGTCAATGTCTGAGCACGTGGGGGTTTTCTGACAGGGTTAATCCAGTCCAAGGAAGCTTTGTCAGGAGTGTGGAGGCCAAGAGAGCACCGTGTCCGCATGACCTTTGCCCTTTTCGCACATACCTATCTCGGAAGAGAACTCATAATTAGTTAATGGGAAGGGCACTATGTTTCTATTTATCTGATGAGCCTAGATGGACTCCACGGGAATCCACTTTTCCAGTGTTGCTCTCTAGTTGAAGGAACTCAAGTTTCTGGTTACAGCTAACGGAAACAATGTTTGCATATAAAGAATACTTGTGTTTGGTAGAAATAGAACCATGTGGTTGCTCAAAATCTCATCCCAGGGGTACCAGACCTTAAAGGGTTGCCTAAAATCTGGTGTCTTTCCTTCCTAATCTACATGAAGTTGTGTGTGTGTGTGTGTGTGTGTGTGTGTGTGTGTGTGTGTGTGTGTGTGTGGTAGAGGTAATAGTGGAGGGGATCCTCCTGGGGATTGTTATAGAACCAAAAGCTGTGTTTAATATAACTTTTAGAAAATGTAAAACAAACAACCCAAGTTCTTGCTTTCTACTTAGTGAAATGCTAGACACAACTTCGAACTTCTCATGAGAAAACAATATAAAATTAGAATTCTAAAAATCAAGGCAGAGGTCTTCCGTTCCCTCAAATGTATATTGTAGTTCAAGAAGATGGTGACATTTCCCCCACACTCTTCTGGCTTCCCATTAGGCGAGAACCTAACTTTCTACTTTGCTTACTAAAACAAAATATTTCTGTTTCTCATCTCCTAGAGTAATTTTCTAGAGGCTTAAAATGTTTTATAGGAGAAAAATCATATGTGTAACCTATATAATGTATTAACTATCAAATAACATTAAGTGTACAAACTCTCATGCATTTAGATGACATGAACACTTGGCACTTGGCTGTAGCTATGATTTGTAACAATGTTGTTGGACTGTGCTCACATCTTTAAATACTCTGTCTCTATTTTTTGGACCGAGATTTTTTTCCTTGCTAGAGAAGACAGTCTCGGGGCGGGAGTGGAGGCACTGCTTTTGGTTACAGCACAACGAAAAAACTTAATGACATGCTTTAGTATTTAAACAAGTGATGTTGCTTGATTTTTAAAAATTTCTCAAAGTAAACTGCTGCTTGGAAGGGCATAAAAGGCCAATCCACAGGCCTCGAGAAAAGAAATCTGAAAATTGTACGTTATCTTACTGGCAAAATACAAAAAGGCACTTGACTCTTCCAACCCGACATTTTTTCCAGGAAATCCACCTGTTGGTGTTGGGTTTGGAAACTCCAGATGTATTTTTGCTGTGAATTTGGGGCACTTTGGGTAGGAGTGTTCTTGAAGAAGAACAACACACTTGTTGAAAGGAGAAAGCCAGGGAAGGGTGTTGTGCTTGCTCAGGGCTGGCTGAGTTGATATTCCTGGGTATGGTGGTTGATGAACGGATAGTTCTCTTTTCTATGGTATGTGGAAAACTTCAGTCCTGTTCCCTGAACTTCAGAAAGAGCCCCCAGCAGGTGTCTGGATCCTTACTTTTACATAAACTTCCTGCCTCACAGGCTTCCTCTGCTCACCCAGTAACCAGAACCATGTTTCCCTCTCTAGTCCTTTGGTTTCCCCTGAAGGTTCCTCTGCCCAGTGGTATTCAGAGGAGCCTTCTGTGAAGCAGGATCTGGTGTGAGGCCCGAGTCTCACCCGCTGAGCACTGACTGCAGTTTGTAGCACCACAGTTTACAGGCCGGCCTGCTGTCTCCCACTAAGAGTCTAGCTGGGTTGCTATGGGCCACAGGAAGAGCACAGGATGA